CTCTGTGTGTGTGTTCTGTGTTCACCTCTGTGTGTGTGTTCTGTGTTCACCTCTGCATGTGTGTTCTGTGTTCACCTCTGCAGTGTGTTCAGTGTTCACCTCTGTGTGTGTGTTCTGTGTTCACCTCTGTGTGTGTGTTCTGTGTTCACCTCTGCATGTGTGTTCTGTGTTCACCTCTGCATGTGTGTTCTGTGTTCACCTCTGTGTGTGTGTTCTGTGTTCACCTCTGTGTGTGTGTTCTGTGTTCACCTCTGCATGTGTGTTCTGTGTTCACCTCTGCATGTGTGTTCTGTGTTCACCTCTGTGTGTGTGTTCAGTGTTCACCTCTGCATGTGTGTTCTGTGTTCACCTCTGTGTGTGTGTTCTGTGTTCACCTCTGTGTGTGTGTTCTGTGTTCACCTCTGTGTGTGTGTTCAGTGTTCACCTCTGTGTGTGTGTTCTGTGTTCACCTCTGTGTGTGTGTTCTGTGTTCACCTCTGCATGTGTGTTCTGTGTTCACCTCTGTGTGTGTGTTCTGTGTTCACCTCTGTGTGTGTGTTCTGTGTTCACCTCTGTGTGTGTGTTCAGTGTTCACCTCTGCATGTGTGTGTTCTGTGTTCACCTCTGCATGTGTGTTCTGTGTTCACCTCTGCATGTGTGTGTTCTGTGTTCACCTCTGTGTGTGTGTTCTGTGTTCACCTCTGCATGTGTGTGTTCTGTGTTCACCTCTGCATGTGTGTTCAGTGTTCACCTCTGCATGTGTGTGTTCTGTGTTCACCTCTGTGTGTGTGTTCTGTGTTCACCTCTGCATGTGTGTTCAGTGTTCACCTCTGTGTGTGTGTTCTGTGTTCACCTCTGTGTGTGTGTTCAGTGTTCACCTCTGCATGTGTGTTCTGTGTTCACCTCTGCATGTGTGTTCAGTGTTCACCTCTGTGTGTGTGTTCAGTGTTCACCTCTGTGTGTGTGTTCTGTGTTCACCTCTGCGTGTGTGTTCAGTGTTCACCTCTGTGTGTGTGTTCTGTGTTCACCTCTGCATGTGTGTTCAGTGTTCACCTCTGTGTGTGTGTTCTGTGTTCACCTCTGTGTGTGTGTTCTGTGTTCACCTCTGCATGTGTGTTCTGTGTTCACCTCTGCATGTGTGTTCTGTGTTCACCTCTGTGTGTGTGTTCTGTGTTCACCTCTGTGTGTGTGTTCTGTGTTCACCTCTGCATGTGTGTTCTGTGTTCACCTCTGCATGTGTGTTCTGTGTTCACCTCTGTGTGTGTGTTCAGTGTTCACCTCTGCATGTGTGTTCTGTGTTCACCTCTGTGTGTGTGTTCTGTGTTCACCTCTGTGTGTGTGTTCTGTGTTCACCTCTGTGTGTGTGTTCAGTGTTCACCTCTGTGTGTGTGTTCTGTGTTCACCTCTGTGTGTGTGTTCTGTGTTCACCTCTGCATGTGTGTTCTGTGTTCACCTCTGTGTGTGTGTTCTGTGTTCACCTCTGTGTGTGTGTTCTGTGTTCACCTCTGTGTGTGTGTTCAGTGTTCACCTCTGCATGTGTGTGTTCTGTGTTCACCTCTGCATGTGTGTTCTGTGTTCACCTCTGCATGTGTGTGTTCTGTGTTCACCTCTGTGTGTGTGTTCTGTGTTCACCTCTGCATGTGTGTGTTCTGTGTTCACCTCTGCATGTGTGTTCAGTGTTCACCTCTGCATGTGTGTGTTCTGTGTTCACCTCTGTGTGTGTGTTCTGTGTTCACCTCTGCATGTGTGTCTGGCAAATAAAGACCCCCTCAAAAGTTACGGTTTATTTCATTGTAAGGATGAGCACCAAGCAACATCTCCAAGTGCTCCTTTGAGAACCAGGGCAAAAAAGTGATGTGCACCCCTGATTATAAACCATCTGACAAAGGCCTGCACTATAATGCTTCAATGAACTGTTCTTTATCATATACTCTGATCAATAGAGACAGAGCACTTAAAGGCGGGGCAGGTCATTTTGGAGAAAGCAGCTCGAGTCGCTAGAATTAGAAAATACACAGCCGGAGAAAATCTGCCACTTCCTCACAGAGCCCCTCCCCCAACACACACGAACGCGCACATGACCAATGAGGGCACGAGATTAGTGTGTGCACAGATGGAAGGCTGACAGGCAGGTAGGCCATCCAGTTACTTTAGCCGGCTCAGATGATTGGTCGTGCTTTTTACAGTACTACGGCTTCAAAGCACTTCAGATATTCATTGCTATGGGGATGTTAAGAGCATTCCATGGAAAATAACAAGTGTTTCTCGAGCCGGCTTCTCAAACACACCTTTAAACATATGTTATCATTATATATAATGAGTGTGCAAACTTATCTAGTATCCTATCCATATGAACCTGTTAACTTGTGGGGGGACCTCACCTCCTCTAGTTCTCTTTGAAGTTAAATGCATCCATCTGGTGCACTTCGAGACACAGCTCTCAACACTCATATAAAGCAGAACTGTATAATGCTTCAATGAACTGGCTGTTCTTTATCAATACTCCGATCAAGAGGAGAACGAGATGAAGTTAGAAATCAAGGGTTTTTATTATTATTTACAGGTAGATATTATACACTTTTGACTTTAAGGGCTTCAGTTTTTCTTCTTCTTTGCTTGCGAAAGTGTTTCTACTGCTTTACGCAACCGACTGCTGCTGCTGCTGCTGCGTCATGACGTCACCGGTGCTTATCAGGCTCTAGCTCCGAACCGGCCCTGGAACCGCGTTGGTGTCAAAGGGGGGGGGGGCATTAGTTCGCCGCAGCCTCGCAGCGGGGTTACAGCGCAGAAGTGCGCCTCATTTGAGCATGACTGATGTGCAACAACATGTGACTCCTCTGTTGGTCTTCTGTCGCTTGTTAGCCCTTCACGCGACAGCAGAGCGAACAGGAGGCGTGGAGCGAGGGATCGTTGTCCACTAGTCGTGCTCGCGGATGGGTACAAACCTTATGTATCCAGTCTATGGTACAAACATATACTTTGGCGGCCGTTAATAGCCTTTACGTGGGCGGCCCGCCCAAGTAAAGGCTATGTTTTGAAGTGAGAAGTTGTCCGTCAGTCCGTGAGTCGGACCCCCCCCCCCCCCAAAAAACGAAAACTCTTCAATTCTCCACGAACTACACAAGACACCCAATCAGCGTTAAAAAAGCGGGAGGCACCAAAAAGCGACTAATTTGCATAACTGATGATTGATGGATTGATGGATTGATGGATGATTGATGGATGGATTGATGGATGGATTGATGGATTGATTGATGGATTGATTGATTGATGGATGGATTG